GGAGAAGGGGACTGGACCTCTCTCCCACAACCAGGCACACCAAGCCAGTGCCTTGGGTCCCACCCAGTGACCTGAGGTATGGGGTTGGGGACTGGACCTGTTGCTTTGCCTCCCACGGATTTGTCACCCCTTTTCCCTTGGGTAACAGAGCCGCCAAAGATTACTCAAAGCCCATCTCTTCTGAGCAGTGAGAAGCCCTGAAAAGGGTTTAATCTCCTGGAACCCTCAAGAGCGAGGCATTCCTTCCATTTGGGAAATTAACCACGAATTGGTGTTCTCTTCCTGCATTTACTCTCCAGACCAGGAAGTTACAGGAAGAGAACACAAGTGGGGTTTTTGCTAAGTATAGTTTAACAAGTTTAACAATAGAAGCTGGTAACATTCAGTAAAACAAGCAAGGTGACCTTCCGTAATGCAGTTTGCAAGAAGTTAAGTTGATCCACCAACAAAAGCTTGATCTTAGCAAGCATTCTCTTCTTACAGCAGTTTCTCAGTATCTTTACATATCAATCAGTAACCTGTCTGTCCTTTGAGCCTGCAACCTTGCTCTGCTGCAATTCTTTATCTTACAACAGAGACTAGCCTGGGGAAAGTTTCCTGTCCCCTGCAAAGCCAACATTTCATATGTACTTTTAAGAAGCTAGTAGGCCAAACCAGAAACTGCAAGGCTTTGGAAAACCAGGCCCTGTGAAATACATTTGCTTTATGTATATTCCCCTCGGATACCACTCCCACACCAGGCACAAAACGCCAGCACCTTGGGGCCCACCTCGGTACCCGAGGTCTGGAGAAGGGACCGGAGCCTCCTCCCACAACCAGGCACATGACGCCAGTGCTTTGGGGCCTGCCCAGAGACCCAGGGCATGGAGAAGGGGACCAGACCGCTCTCCCTAAACCAGACACACCGCACCAGCACCTCAGGGCCTGCCCAGGGGCCTGGGACATGGAGAAGGGGACTGGAGCCCTCTCCCACAACCAGGCACACCAAGCCAGCTCCTTGGGTCTTGCCCAGTGACCCAAGGTATGGAGAAGGGGACCGGACCCTCCTCCCACAACCAGGCATACCGCCAGTGCCAAGGAGCATACCAAAAACAGCACCTCCACATGGGTGGCCCACCACAGCCACCACAATAACCATGGCTGCCGCAAAAGTGGCTAGACGCCACAACTGCCATGCAGATGGTCCGCCAACCACTGGAGTGCATTCACACACGAGTCACCAGCAGAGACAAAGAAAAGACGATGTCTCCTTCCACAAAACCCATTTCAGAGTGACAGAAGAAGCATCTGTTCTATGATAATATTGGGGGACCTGGTCACATCTCTCAGCATTGGACAGATCATTTAGGCAACAAATTAACAGAGTAACCATTATTCTTTCAGAAGGAGAGAAGAAATCTAGGGCAATTAGAGAGGGGAGGGGGGAGGGGGTGGAGGAAGGGGAAAGATTGGACAAGGGGCATAAAGAATAATTATAATTTGTAACAATATATATGCTAGTGATATTTATTTAATCAACATATCTCAATGTTCAACCCTCAAAATATGTATAATCGATTTTGATTCAATAAATAAATTAAAAATATATATTTTTCTTAAAAAAGAAAATATGTGCAAAGTACATAGACAAGTTTTATTATTATTTCCTTTTCATCAGTCTTCCTCCATGCCCCAGTCTCCTGATATAACACTGGTTCTCAACTCTGCCTGCACATATTAGGATTATCTGGAATAATTTTTAAATTCCAGTTTTTAAATTCCAGTGCATGATCTCCACCCCAGAATAACTGAATCTGGATCTCTAGAGGTAAGGCTGGACATCTGTAGTTTTTAAAAGCTCCCCAGATGATTCTAATGTGCAGCTGGGTTTCAAGCCACTGATTGTAAATTCAAGGGAATTGATTGTGAATTAATATATCTATTTCTTTCCATCCTTACTGCCACTGTCCTAGTCTGTATCTCACCTGTACTATAAAAAAAGCTTCCTGAAGCAACTTTCTGCCTCTAGACATTCCTAGCTCAAAATGGCATAACTATGTAACTAATTTTCAGCCTCAATAACTGTTTCTAACTACTCTTGGTGGGGGAAGTGCTGGTCATGAGACATAGCTAAATAGGGGAAGAAATTAACTGCAGGATCATTGGAAATGTTTTGTAGTGAGGCAATATCATAGAGAAGATAGGGCATTTATATTAGAGTCAGACCTGGGTTAAATCCTGAAACTTGGCCAACTTGGCTTGGCAAGTTGCAATTGACTTGAGCCTTAGTTTCTTCATCTGTAAAATGGGAACAGTAAACCTATTTTGCAGGGTTGTTGTGTGGATATCAGATAATGTATGCTAAATGCCAGGTAGGTGACCGGCAACTCTTATTAATTAGTAATAGCAAAGACCTTGCTTTGAAGAACTTATCCTAAGGAGTGGGGACTGAGATGTATCCCTAAGATGGCCTGCTCAGGCCGAGAACTACTTGAGCTTCTCTGGAAGATAGAATCTTAGGATGCAGATCCCAAGCCCTAAAGCTGGGGTGAGAAGGAAACTTGGCAAGGGCCTGTGGAGACAGCACAGAGAAGCAGGTGGGGTTTGCACCCCCTGAACTGGCCAAGGCTGAATTTAAACCTTTTGTGGTCTTAAAACCTCATCAAGGGGAAGAGGCTGAGGGAGAAGCACTAAAAACACATGCTCCATGCTTGCAGAAGAAAGGGAGAAGCGGGTAGGGGGCTCTGCAAATAGAAAAGAGAGAAAGAAGAGGGCCTTCATTCTCCTTTGCTCCTTTGCACCTGGGATGCAGGTGCTTTCCCACTCAGCCTTTTTCAGGATGTCACTAGAGTCTTCCACTCAAAGTCCACCTTCAACCACTGCTGAAAACACAGGACTTCACTTGAAAAGGCAGTCTCAGAACAACGGAACATGCCCTGCTTCCAACATCAAGGAGGTGGACCCACATAGTAGTAATCCTTTACTGGCCTCAGCCCTTTACAGTTTATGACTAGTATTTTGGGGTCCAATTAAGCTTCATAGCAACCCTTCCAAGTGGGTAGGACAGGATACACAATTTGCAAAATAGAAAACAGAATTTGCTCATGGACAAAAAGCCAGAGTAACTGAACAAGGGCTCAAATACTTGTTTTGGTGGTTGGTGGGTACAAGGATTGAACCCTGGAACTTGGCGTTGCCAGCACCATGCTCTAACCAACTGATCTAACTGGTCCACTGTGAGGACTCAAATATTGATAGGGCTTCAAGGCAGGTAGGCACTGTTTTCAAGACTATCAATGTCAGGCTGGCCAGTTAGCTCAGCTGGTTAGAATGCAGTGTTACAGCACCAACGGCAAGGGTTCAGATCCCCGGATGGGCCAGCTGTCCCCCCCCCACTCCAAATATATATATCAATGCTAGCTACCAGTTTTTGAGCATATTCTCTGTGTAAGGAAGGCTCTGAAGTGAGTGTTCTATACAGGCTGTGGAATTTGATTTAATTCACTTCCCTCACTCACAACTCTAAGCAGTAGGAATGATTAGTTCCACTTTTGTGAGAAACAAGGCTTGACAAGTGAAATGAGTTGTCCAGGGTCACAAAACCTGTTGGTGGCAGAACTGGCACTTGGCCCCAGGACTTCTCACTTTGATTTCAGTTTCTTTCTTTTACAGCCATACTCCATAGCTGATGTTTACAGCCCTAGTTGCTTATCTGCCCTGATGATATTGCCTGATCTCTTGCAAAGTATTTACTTTGTGTAAAATGAGGATAATATCTATAGTCGAGGCTTGTGAGGATTACATAAGATCATTTATGCAAAGTACATTGTAGGTAAAGATAAACAGTTTTGTTTTTTTTTCCTTTTTGTCTTTTTTCGTGACCGGCAACGGATCGCAGCCCTCAGTGTCGCGCCCGTACCGGACCGGGACCGGCCACGGGATCGCAACCCCCGACCGGCCACGGGATCGCAACCCTCGGTGTTGCTCCCGCCCCTCACTCAGCCAGTGAGCAGCCGGTCTGTATGTGGGATCCGAACCCTCGGCGGGAGCGCCACCGCACTTCCCAAGCGGCGCACTACAGCAGTGCGCCACCGGGCCGGCCCAAGATAAACAGTTTTTATAATTGGTAGTTTGTAGCCAGTGGTGATGAAGAGTCTGGTGCCAGTGTGCTTGGGTTCAAATCCCTGCTCTGCCGTTTTGTACCTGTATGATTTTAGGCACTTTATTTAACCTCTCTGTGCCTCAGTTTCCTGATTTGTGGACTGGAGGTAATAACTACATCTACTTCATAGGGCCATTGTAAGGAGTAAGTAAAGTAACTCAGGTGAAGTGTGCACATAGTAAGTGCTCAATAAACACTAGCTATTATTAGTGTAAATTCTACTCTAACCCTGTTTAATAATTCAACTTGCACAGCAATCCCCTGTACCATACTATGCTTCCCCCCCGCCGATAATATTTATCATCTTCTAAGATAGTAATGCAATTAGCTACCCTCGCTCCCTTTAGCATCCTCCACCTTTATTTCTAACATAACTTATGACCTCCTCTACTGCTAAGTTATTTACTTCTGTAGTATTTTTTTTATTGCTTATTGTCTGTCTCCCTCCAGGACAAATTTTGTCCATTTTCTCAGAGGTATCCCCAGCATCTAAAATAGTGCTTGGCGCATAGTAGCTGCTCAATAAATATTAGCTACTATGATAAAGTCTATCCTGAATATCCTATTGAATAGAGTTCTCCTCCTGCTTGCTCTGAATTCCTGATTCCCCTTAACCAACTCTTCTTTTTCTTTTTTGCAATAGCACTTATTTCCTTTTAACACACTGTGTAATGTACTTATTCATTATTTTTATAATTTATTGCTAGTTTCCTTCCCCACCTCCCACACCTAGATTGTAAGTCCCATGAAAGCAAGGACTTTTATAGGCATTCTTCATTTACATTATCACCAACCCTTAGAACAGTGTCTAGCATATGGTAGGTAATTCATAGAGTATTTGATGAATGCAGTATACGTGATGGAGCACTGCAAGTGGAGTCGGAAGTCCTCCCGCGACTGCCGCAGAATTCCAGTGTGGCCCTAAACGTGTTCCTTCTCTCCTCTGGGCCTCAGTTTCCCCTGACAGGTCTGACCCTGCTTTGGGTGTGCGGTCAGCTGAGGTCCCGACGGCGGGGCTGCGTCCTGCTGCACGTGGCCGCTGGGGGGCAGTGTGGGCAGCCCCGCCCCGCCCACTTCCCGGGCCGCCGCGCCGGAACGGCCCGCCCCGGCTGGGGAAGCTGGTGCAGCCGCCTCCAGCTCATTTACCTGCGCGCCTGCCCGCAGGCCGTTCGCCGCCCCGCCATGTCTTGCTACATCTACCAGCTGCCCTCTTGGGTGCTGGACGACCTGTGCCGAAACATGGACACGCTCAGCGAGTGGGACTGGATGCAGTTCGGTGAGTCGGGCCGGGGGAGGGCCGGGGCGACCGGTCCCCCTAGCGATCCCGCCTGGAGCGGGCCGCCAAGCCCCTCCGGGGCTCTGGCTAACTGGGTCCTAATCCGAGGGGTTGTGTGTGCTATTTCTGGATCGGGTTCTCGCTGTGTGACCTCGGGCAGGGCCCGCCCCTACTCTGGACCTCAGTTTAATCGCCTGGAAGGTGGTAGGTGGTCTTTGAAGATTTCTATGAGGAGCTGTGTGTCGCTAAGTATTGCCGCCTCTACTTTGCTTTACCGTTCACAGTAAAACTGATAGTCATCAACAGTTACTGCGTGCTTACCCTGTGACAGGCCTGTTCTCTTACCTTATTTAATTCGCACGACAGCCTATAATGTGCATACTTCCCTTACCCCATTTTATAGACGAGGTAGAGTAACTTGCCTAGGGAAGTGGCAGAGTGGTACTGGAACGCAGGCCTCTGGGTCCTCCAGGACTCGCTACACTGTTACTCCTTGGTGTGGTTTGTTTGCGCCTGATGTTTGGCTGAGAGGTCCACGGCATCTGGAGGAGGCTGCTTGTGTGGTCTCAGCTTCCCAAGCAGAGATCCGCATTCCAGACCCCACCACCTTCCAGCCTTGTGACTTTGGACCAGGTTCTTAACCCTCGGAGCCTCAGCTTCTTAATCTGTAAACTGGAGATGATAATTACAGCTTTTTCATAAAGTCGTTGTGAGGAATGGAAATATTGTATAAAAGGCACCTGACACCTAAGTGTTCGATATCCTTATAAATCATAAGGAAGTGTGAACAATTATCATTCATAGTTTTATGATTTAAGTCAGTGAAACTGGTGCCACTAAATTTTTTAATAATATATATGTTTTCTAATTAAAATTTTAGATTATGAAATACGGTATACCATTTATACAAAAGAGTATATAATATATATGTATAATTTAAAGAAGAATAATGAAATGAACATGTATGTTATCCATCCAGTTTGAGCAAGTAATATATATTTTAAACTAATTGTTCTCAGTCTGGGTAATTTTGTCCCCCTAGGGGACATTTGCCAATGTCTGGAGATATTTTTGTTTGTCACAACTTGGAGGATGCAGCAGGTAGACACCAGGGATGTTGCTAAATATCCTACAATGCACAGGACAGCCCCGGCACAAAGAATTATGTGGTCCAAAAGAAGAAAGAAGAAGAAAAAGAATTATCTGGTCCAGTGTCATTAGTGCTGAGGTTCAGAAACTGTTTTCACCCAGTAACAAAACATGCTTATTGCAAGATACTGTGGGAAACAACAACAAAAATCTTAGGTCAATTTCTACCACTCAGGGGTAACCATTCTTAATATTCGGGTGCCAGTAGTAATAACAGTAATTGCAGCTAATGTTTATTGGCTTTCTGCTAAGAGCCAGCAGAGTGCCACATATGCTATGCCTTCTAGTCTTTTTCCTAAACATTTATTTATGTGTATATATTTTTCAAAAATCATTTTGTGCATTCATTATACATGATAGCCTGCTTTTTTCACTTAAAATATGTCACAGTCATTTTCCCTTGCCAGACAATATTCTTTAGCCATATGGATTTAGGTTTTTATTTTCAGTGTGTATTTTTATGATCCATCTTTAGTTGACAAAGTAGTAGATGCTCTAGGGAAAATGATGTAGATAATACACCTGGGATGGAGAGGAAGGTAAGTGTCTTTCTTCTCCCTGGTCCTCATCCCCCCGTTCCCCTCCCTAGAGGCAGTCATTGGTAACAGGGCTGTGCCCGGGTGCCAGTGAGAATGTCAGTTGCCACTTGATTTTCAGGACTGCACTGTGTCTCAGCACAGATGATGTGTGACAACTACTTTGAATGTTCCTGGGCAGTGGACAAACTTTTTGTGTGGAACTCCCTCTCGTTTTATCCCCGTTGGCCCAGCCCTTAATTGTGAATGTCAGAACTGATTCTGTTCCTAAGAAATTAATTTAGAAGGCACAACTATGACTTTTTTAAAAACAGTTTTATTGATACCATATAATTCATCCATTTAAAGAGTACAATTCAGTGGCATTTAGTATATTCACAGAGTTGTGCAACCATCGTCACGATCAATTTTAGAACGTTTTCATTACCCCCAAAAGAAACCCTGTACCCCTAAACTGTCACTCCCAATCCTCTCTCCCATGTTTCCCAGCTTTAAGCATTGCCTATTCCAGACATTTCATAGAAATGGAATCGTACAATATATGGTCCTTTGTGACTGACTTCTTTCATTTAGCATGTTTTCAAGGTTCATCCATGTTGTGGCATGTATCAGTACTTAGTTTCTTTTTATTACAGAAGATACTCCGTTGTATGGATGTACCACATTTTATTTGTTTATCAGTTGGTGGATATTTGGGTTGGGCTATTATGAAAAATGCTGCTGTGAACAGTCGCGTACCAATTTTTGTGTGGACATAAGTTGTCATTTCCCTTGGGTATATACCTAGGAGTGGAATTGCTGAGTCATATGGTAGCTCAGTGTTTCACTATTTCAGGAATTGCCTGACTGTTTTCCAAAGTGGCTTAACCAGCAATTTGTGAGTATTACAATTTCTCCACATCCTTGTCAACACTGTTATTGTCACCTTTTTGGTTTTTTTTTTTTTTTTTTCCCTTTTTGTCTTTTTTCGTGTCCGGCAACGGATCGCAACCCTCAGTGTCACACCCGTACCGGACCGGGACCGGCAACGGGATGGCAACCCTCGGCGCTGCACCCGCACCTCGCTCAGCCAGTGAGCGGGAACCGGTCTGTATGTGGGATCCGAACCCTCGGTAGGAGCGCCGCCGTGCTCCCAAGCGGCGCACTGTAGCAGTGCGCCACCGGGCCGGCCCTATTGTCACCTTTTTGATTCTAGCCATCTGAGCACAGGAATGAAGTGGCATCTCACTGTGGGTTAGATTTGCATTTTCCTAATGACTAATGCTGTTGAGTATCTTTTCATGTGCTTATTGGCTATTTGCATATCTTCTCTGGAGAAAACCTCTGCCTTTGTAGGCCCTGGAGATACCAGAATTGCTCACAATTCTTAGAGGCTTCCCACTGTGATTGAGGATATAATCCAAACTCCTCACAGGCCTGCCAGCATTGGTGCAGTTTGGCCCCATTGACCTTCTGACCTCCTCTCCTTCCTTGCCCCTCTCCCTCCTTGGAACAGACTCTGGGCCTTCACACTGGCTGTTCCCTCTGCCTGGGACATTCTTCACCCTGTGGCTTTCTAGTCTGTATTAGTTTCCTCTTGCTGCTGTAACAAATTACCACATGTGTAGTGGCTTAAAACAGCACAAATTTATCTTAACAGTCTTGAGGTCGGAAGTCCTAAAATCAAGGAGGCTCTAGGTGAGAATTTATTTCCTTGCCTTGACCAACTTCTAGAGGCCTCCTGCATCCCTCGGCTCATGGCCACTTCCTCCATCTTCAGAGCCACTAGTGTAGCATCATCAAATCTCTGGCCTCTGCCTCTGTTATCACATCTTCTCTGCCTCCCTCTTGAAAGGACCCTGGTGATTACCTTGGGTTGACCCAAATAATCCAGGATAATCTCATTTCAAAATCCTTCACTTAATCTCATCTGCCAAGTCCCTTTTGCAACGTCAGGTACCGTATTTACAGGTCTTGGGATTTAGGATGTGGATGGGAGGATATCATTCTGCCTACCATAGCCCTTCAGGTCAGAGCACATGCCAACCTGTTTGAGAGGCCTGACTCATTAGTCCGTCACCATGTTCTGTTTCCTTCATTCCACTTAATGAGATTTGACATTACCTTGTTCCTTATTTGCTTATGTTTATCTCCATGTAGAGTGTAAGTGCCATGAGGGGAGGGACTTCACCTGCTTTGTTCACTCCTGTATCCCCAGAGCCTAGGACAGTGCCTGGCAAGTGGCAGTACTCCTTGACCACTTGGGTGAACAGTGAGCTGAAGGGTGTAGGAATGGTGAGGACGCAGGGTGTGTCCACCTCTCACCCTGCAGAGATGACTTTGGGTGCATGCTCAGCCCACTCTCCGTGATGGGTCAAGGTCACTGGACTGCAAGCCAGCTGTGCCGCCCTATCAGCTGCTTCTTCAATGTCCCAGTGCTTTCTGGTTTCCTCTTCAGCTGAACGAATGAGGGATTGTGATCATCCCTTCAGTCCTAAAATGTCTTGGCTTCTGTGAGTCATTTTAGAGAAAGATGGTCCCTCAGAGCTTATTGTGGTACTGGGAGGAGGGTTTGGGGTGTGGGAAGAATTCTAAAGTGATTCAGAAAGTCCCACATCCACAAATCTGCATGCTCTTTTGCATTTGACTCAGGTTGGCAGATATTTTGGCTGCTGCTTGTTCATTTCTCTGTGATTGCAGCTGCGTCCTTTTTTGCTCTTGGGTGAAGAGTTTTGGAGTCTGTCTGAGCCCATGTAAAACAGGCTTCTTACAACTTTCCCCACCCAGGCGTGTGCAAAGGGGCCTGGGGGCACCCCCTCCTTTGTTGGGCCTCTCCCCTCTTGCTCACTCATGCATGTGCCAGCCTTTGAGCACAGCCTGGGTTTACCCTTGCCCAGGTGTGTGACGTCAGGCAAGTGACTGCGTCTCTCTGAGCCTTTTATTTTCTCATCTGTAATAAAACCCTCACAGAGTTGCTGAGAGGCTTAGGGGACATGACAATTGAAAAGGTTCTCAGCGTTTTCCCCTTCCCCCACCCAGAGAGGAGCCTGGTTAGTCTGGAGAAGGGTCATTTGACCTTAGGTCGGGTCATTTCAGGAGGCTGTGCCATCTCTGCTCTGGAGTTCTTTGAAGATGGGCAGTTTTCTAGTGCCCCAGGTGAACTCATAGGATTCAGGAAATCAGGGTGATGGTCTCCATGTGGTGCTAACCACTGGGGATAAAAACAGGTTTTCATAGAGTGTAGATAAACACAACTAACATTTATATTGTGTTGACTATGTGCCAAGCACCATTCCAAGTGCTTCTGTACTATAACTCATCTAATCCTCACAATAACTGCTGAGGCAGGTGCTGCTGTTATCCCCGTTTGACAGATGAGGAATCTGAGTCTTAGGTAGAGGTGAAGGGCCTCCCCCAAATGCACAGCAAGTTAAGAGGCAGAGACAGGACTTAAACCCAGGTCTCAGAGTCCTAAGGTCTGGCCCACGTACCACAACTGTACTGTCCTGCTGACATATGCACATGTTTTTATATCTACGGAAAAACGTCTGGAGGATTAGATACCAAAAGGTAACCAGTGGTTTTCTCATGGTCTTCCAGGTGGAATGCTCACAGGGACTTTGATTTTTTTCTGTTTTCCAAATGTTCTACAATGACCCAGTGTTTGTCAGTGTGGAGAAAAGTGAGGAAGCCCTCAGTAGTGACTCATTCCCCAAGATCTCTGTCTTGTCTTGACCTTGTTTTAAGGATCTGGTTAAATGCCGATATGTCATTTTCAAGGAACTAAAATGTCCAAAGCAGGAGGCACCTCAGAGTTTAATTCCTATTTCTACTGCATTACCAGTGAGGAAAGTTCAGCCCACAGAAGGTCAGGGCTGCGGCTGAGTTCCCACTGCCACTGGCCACCAGCAGCAGTCCCAGCTCATGCTTTTCCCATTACATCAGGCTGCCTCCCAAGGGTGGGAGGTGGGCAGGTAAATAGCAGCTGTGTGTGCATGGAAGGAGGGGGGTGTTCCTTCCTCTTCTGTGTCTACCGCTGGAAGCAGCCCCTGACCCCACTGACATCACTTACCACCAGCCAGGAATCTGGCCCGGGCTTTCCAATGACTAAAGTTGCAACTCAGAAACTTTCCATTCCTACCAGGGCACTTCTCCTGGAGGTTTTCTCTCTGCAGGAGACTGTCACAACCCTTCCCTATTTCCAGAGGGGAGAGGATTGTGCAATCGGACCACGTCTCTTCCTGGCCCTGAGATCTTCTGTGGTCCCCTGATCAAGTCCAAACTCCACAGCCCAGTATTTGAGGCCCTTCCTGTTGGGGTCCCGTGCTTCATCTCTTGCCTCCCCTTCCGCACTCAGCCCGCCTATGTTTGTATTTTCCAAACAAAAAATACAGCAGAGGGATTTTGGTTTACTTAACACAGTATCTCTAGAGCTTGGCACAGGCCTAGTGCACAGCAGGTGCTCAATAATACTTTGTTGAATGAATGAATGAGTGAATAAATGACTGGATGTTCACATAGATTCCTGCTCCATGATTTTTTTTTTTTTTTTTTAAAGATGACTGGTAAGGGGATCTTAACCCTTGACTTGGTGTTGTCAGCACCATGCTCTCCCAGGTGAGCTAACTGGCCATCCCTATACAGGGATCTGAACCCTTGGCCTTGGTGTTATCAGCACCACACTCTCCCAAGTGAGCCACGGGCTGGTCCTGCTCCATAATTTCTGAAACCCTGGAACTGAAACTTGATTATTTTATTCCTAATTTTAAAAAATGCCTCCCTCACTTCAGTAAACTCAGTGGAATACTATGTGATCACTAAAAGTGCCATTTGGGAAGAGCTCGTCACAACTCAGAAAATTCTTATGGTACAGTGTTAATAAATAAGAGCAGGATGCAAAATCTTACCTACAGTCTGACAACAACTACGTGCAAAGTCATCCCTATGGAGAGGGGGGGTAATTTTTGGAAAGGGAAAGTACCCTAGTGGCCTCAGGAAGGTGGTGAGACACTGTAGAACTTTCTTTTCCTGCATTTCCCATGTTTTCTTTAATGAGCAGCCATTCATTTTATGGTAAAAAACGAAAAGAAGGAATGTATTATTTTTATTATTACCAGTGATAGCTCCCTGCAAATTTTGTCCAGTATTTCAGAATTGGCAAAGTGCTTTTGTATCCATCCTCACAGAACTGTTACAAGGATCAAGAGAGAAGAGAGACCATGTTCCCACTGGGGAATGAAACTCCCTGCCTACATGGGGCTTCCATTGTAGAAGGGGAGACGAGTTCTGTTACCAACCAAGTCTCCCATTAGTGAAAAGACAGCCCGTAGCAAAAAAGCAGCTGCAGCTTAAGGCTTCTGACTCTCTTGTCCTGTGGTCTTTCTCATAAGTCTTGTGCAGCAGCTGAGTTGATATTTATGTTCATGTGTTCACGTGCCAGTCCCTATGGGTATTAATAGAATCAGCATTATAACTTGAGAGGGATGGGTAGGGAGGATGTTCTGGACAAAGCTCTGCTGGTGTGGGGACCCTCGTGGGGGGACTGCCTCTCTGACTCTAAGCAGAGTCCTCTTACTTGCTTTCCAGCCTCCTATGTGATCACAGACCTGACCCAGCTGCGGAAGATCAAGTCCATGGAGCGGGTGCAGGGTGTGAGCATCACGCGGGAGCTGCTGTGGTGGTGGGGCATGCGGCAGGCCACCGTCCAGCAGCTTGTGGACCTCCTGTGCCATCTGGAGCTCTACCGCGCTGCCCAGATCGTCCTGAACTGTGAGTGACTGAGGGCCCCTCCCTGGGCAGGGTCATGCTCCTGAGCAGTTTCAGCACAGGCCACACTCCCTGGCCTTAAAATGTTTTGTTTTGTTTTTTTAAAAGATGACTAGTAAGGGGATCTTAACCCTTGACTTGGTGTTGTCGGCACCATGCTCTCCGAAGTGAGCGAACTGGCCATCCCTATA